AATTCCCTTCTCTTCCCACCGAATTCTGCGTAAAACTCTTCTGGCATATCAAAATGTGAGTGGTACTGCTTTCTTTGCCTGAATTGCAATACTGAGGTCGACGTTTCACATTCATATTTGTTAACATTACTTCAAGACACTTTCTGCACTAGTCTATTAGTTAACCTAGCTCTGAGGAAGGGGCTGGACGAACCATCTGGGTTTTGAAGTGTTTTCCACAATAATGAGATGTTAGTCGGTATCAGAACTTAGTATGGAAAGGTTTTCTGGGAATTGGAAGCTCCTAGGGCCCTCGACACGCTCTTTTAACTGGTGAAAGTGGAAAACCAGTGTGGTAGCGAACTTGTGCTCCTCAATATGGAAAGCAGCCCACCTCTCAGGTAATCGCAAAATGTATCCTTAATGCTAACCCACGACTACAGTTCGTTTGGAACCCCATTGTGCTGAGCAGAAAACATTAGATGCTATTAACTTTGGGACGGTGCATTTAACGAACTCTTAAAGCCGAACTAAGACTCCCGCAACAAAGAGTAGTCAAGGTTAAACGGGAGGAGATCCACGGTACGGGCGACGTTAGCCTCTGCTGTTGAGGAGCCTTCCAAATGCCTAGCGTCTAAGCCTATTGGCGCCGAGCATGGTCACATAACTGTGGAAAAATTAAATGAAATAAAATGTGGAACAACTACAAAACTTAAGACCTGTATTTATATAAATTCAGCTTGCCTGTTCAACCGCTGGAAGTGCTCGAAACTCTTATAATCTATGTCAATATCTGTGTACTGCTTTTTTGGAGCTGACGTTGAAGCTCGCCGTTCTTCATAAGCCCTGCTGAAACGAGAACGTATGAAGCATAGTTATGACATCATCGCATACCCGTGGTTTTGTAGGCCCTTCTTGGTCAGATTAATCTGGTTCCTAAGATGTCATGTGCCCATGTACTATTACGGTTCGTGAGGGTAAACAGCCGACACTTGCCTTTGTCATATATTAGGTGGGAAAGAAAGTCCTGCGACACTGATTCATTGTTCTAGGAAAAGATCAAAAACTATTTTGAATGTTCCCATCCCTGAATAATCTCTTAGGCTTTCACAGATGGGTGTATTATGGACTTTGTGGAAGCTTTCAAAGCTTAAAGTCCCTCAGAGGTCGAGGTACTTTTCGACCTATCCCATATTATGAGTTCCTGTAGGGCCACTCCGCCGTAGTCGAGGAAGCTAACACCTGCGTTGTCTTCAAAAAGGAAGTTGCTTGTCATGGAACAGTGTACCGTTTGTATCAGTGCTTGCAAACTGGAATTTTAATTTGAAGGTAGGCAACGTATAGGTCAGCCACCAGCACAGGATGACGGCTGTTTTCTCAAAATCCTGGAGGCGCAGTCGAACGTAATCACCAGTAAGTTGGCAGCCTCTTTAGGCTGCACCTAAGCGACAACTGTCATGCTTCTCCGCAATCTCGGTTATCGGGAAATTTTTTGTGAAGAATGCCTTATGAGTTGGACCAGTCTGACAAAGCGCACCGAATGGTCGTGACTGAGTTTTCTTTTCCTTGTACACACTGGAAGAACTTTTGTGAGATCTTGTGGTTGGTAGCGAGTGGTGGACTCCTGCGTAACTATGCACACATCCCTTACAAGGTCTCTCAAGGAGAAAAGTAGATTGCTTAGCCAGAAGCAGATGTGCGTGGAAAGAAAGATTTCACTGTGTTATTGGCGACACTTCGAGGCGATGTCGCTGGATAGTGTCACAGCAGTGGCGGTCACAGTGATCACTAATCAACATCAAAACATGGATGACGTCACGCTTGGATTCATTCAGCAAAACACTCACTTTCTTTCTACTACTCTGCAATGTGAAGGCCGCGTGTGAGAGTAGTCAGACATGTGAACTAGGGGCTACGTCAAGAGATCATGGATCTCGATCAGCAAATCGCGAACCATTGCCCCAGCTTATTCTGTTGAGTACGAACCATGAGGGGTGCATAGGTGGTCGCACGATCAGCGCCCCCCACGGTGAGATCCTGTGTTTGCGCGCCCCCCAGCAACGCGGTCTTTTCCGCGGCACTTAAGGGCAAATATGGGAGGGGCCGCCGGGTATGCAAGAGCCGTAAGACTAAAAAGAGCTTTCTCTGCTGCTACTCGAGCCGCCTACAGTGAACACCGCCGCGTTTCGTCGATTCCTACATTCGCTCATCACATTCCTCTTATTACTGTAACTTCTGTAAATAAACTTCTTTCTATCATCCGTGTCCATCGCAGAGCAAGCAGTAGTTTGCAGTCGGCATACATTAAATGGCCGGTAACGTCCACTCTTCGCCTTATAATCTTCAAAGTTAGCAAGGCTCTAATTACACTCATTTTATCCCCAAATGCGCTTAGCAAGCAGAAATTCTGAAAATTAGTTGTCGATTTGAACTCGAAAATGAGACTCTTCTTTTCGTTGTAGATTGGAAGTGTCTTCTCGTGAAGGAAAATTTGGTCCGGAAATTTGGTCAAACTGTTGCAGGACTTTCTTTCCAACCAATAGTATCTCATTCGTATTGTTCACCTTGTCACTGATTACGTGTTAGTGCGCTCTGAGCGCATAAAGAAATAAATATATTCTATTTTGCGATAGTTAAAGACAGCTCCCGCGATAAAAGTCTCATGGATAGCTGCTTTCCAATTATGAAACAGCAGCTGATAAGTAATCTCCCAAAGAAGAAAACAGGCAAGAAGCGTTCTCCAGAACAACATAAACAAAATCGCTCCCTCACAGTTACACCTCCCTGCGGTCTCTGTGCAGCCCCTAGCTCACAAATCTCTCTATCACATCTCGCAGTAGTTGATATCATCTAGTGCAAAAGAAAGAATACAAAAAGAAAACAACAAAAACGCAGAGGAAAAACTCTGGGAAGGAAAAAGGAATTTTATCAACACGGTGTCTGAATTTGTGATTACGGTAGCGCACCTTTTGTGCGTCGTGGTTTTGCATCACGAAAATTGCGTCACTCGTGTTTTTTACGCGTTTCACCTCGCGAAATGGGTTGAATTGAATGTATATACCTCCAATGAGTAAACTGTAATGAAGGAGAGCAGAATTATCCAGGGGCATTAGCAATGCCCGCCGCCCCAACTAAGAACAAGTGAGTGGCCTCCGTCGGAGGACATCTAGCAAGTAAAGGCGGTCCGACTGAGGAGGAGTTAGAACTAGCACTTTGAGCGGCTAGCAGCCTCCACGCTCACAGTAGAGTCGAACAGTCTTCTAGCTTGGAGGCTAGACTACTTGCACAGCAAACTGCACTGCAACAAACACTGGAGCCACTTTTTGATCGCGGCTGGTCTTTAAATCATTCGGTTAAGAATTCTGCTCCAACGACCCAAGAATCAGGTGATGTTCGTATCCTTGTCATATCGTACATTTTCCGTTTTTCATCTGAGCCCAATACCTCGTAAGCCAGTGATACCTGAAAGTGAAAACTAGCCTGTCTAGCATTTTCATCTACAAAGTTCGCCACTAGCCTAAGGATATGTTGGGAGCAGGTATAGCATCGGTCGTATATTCCTTTTAGAGAAAGTTGCCGCGTCGGGAGAGTAAAAAGTTTCTCAGAGCTCGAGGGAAAATTTTTTGGGCGAAAAACTGGAAAAAGTGGGAAACTGGTAGGTAGCTGGTAATAGGTGCTGGGAAAGGGGGCTTGGGGTCGTACTTCACCATTTCACACATCACCATGCTGTACCCTGGTTGGAAGTCATGAGTGGAAGAGAGCCATGTAGCAAGTAAAGACACTTCGGAAACGAGGAGTCTCACCCAAAACTCACAACAGGATCTAATGCGATCGCATACAGCAACAGAAAAAATAAAAAAATCATCGAAAAAATGATACTGACAAAAAGGAAGTTCCCAGAAGTACCTGCTGAAATTTTGAAGCCGCTTCAGCTTGATTATCCCTATTTCGATCCGGGTGGTACTTTTTTGATAGGCTGTAGAATGCCGCCTTGATTTCCTGAACATTTAAATAATTTTATGTCTCCCACTAAATGTTAGCATGGTATTGTTAATTTGGTTCGAATTTCATTCGCATCGCAATACAGTCTGATTGCATACTTGGCCTGCGTGGAGTGACCAAGCCGAACTCAAGTGTAAGGCCAATAAGCTGGCCACGGACCCATGGAGCCCTTGTATAGGTCACAAAACAGATTTATGGAATACAGTGTAGTGAAGAAGTGACTCGCAAGTGCTCAGCCTATGCCCTGCTAATGACAAATGCTGCTGAAAATCGATTCCCAAGAGTGCGTTCATAGTTTGCGTGCTGCGTTCTGAGCGTTTCGAGCGCACGCCAGCGTATTGAGCGTCTGAGCCTAGCTCAAACCCTGGATCGATCATACGTTCCTTTCCATTCAGAACATTTGAGACGTTGGCCTAAACGCCCAAACTCTGACGCAAAGTATGACGCATCCTCTCTTTCTATCAAAAGCTAGGCAGAATTCGAAAAAAAACCGCTTTCTTTTGGGCGAGGATACAAATCACTCCGGCCGAAAACGTTCGATACTCTTCCTGCCCACCCCTCCCCCTGTTAGAAAATGTCTCCATTCCACGACCGGTTATGACCAAGCTTAAAGCCGAAGACAAACCATTAATGAATTGTGGTAGCATCACACATCGCGATGTAATGTGATCTACCTGCCTTCTGGGTAAAATGCCAGCAAACAACTCAACTTTGGACGGAGTTCAAACAAAAGCATATTGTTAGAAATTAAATCAGCATCTGAAGGGTGTCATCCTTTCGACAGCTAAATCACAAAGCGTCATTGAAGCGCGTGCAGACTTCGGCGATCGGCGATCCGGATCGCGCGAATCTCGAAGTCTAACCGCATTGAAAAGAAGAGTCGAAAAGATAACAGCATGCGGCGCTAACGGAGCGGGGGAACCACTTGGCCGAGCCTCTATGCCCTTACACGGCTACGTGACTTAGATACCCGGTGGGCGTGGCCAAAATAGGGCGAGGGCTTGACGTGGACGGATATAATTGGGCTTCAGCGCTTCTTCCTGAGCTTGGAGACGATAATTTCCTTCTTATTAAACAGCTGTGTGTTTCTACTGCTTGAACTAAGAAGTTCCGAGAGGAAGAATTAACTTAGATTGGAATTTATGCTTTTTGCAAAGGTATACATTAGGCAGAGGCGAAAAAGTGGTTATCAGGTCTTACGTATGATCATGAAATCAACATTAAGCACACCTTGAAGACAATAGGAACGTTTACCTTGTAAACGGTGCTCCCGTCTAATATCTATTGCAGCACAAATTTGGGAAACACCGGTCCATTTCGAAGCCTTGCCTCTGTGGCCACGCCCACCCGGGTATCTAAGTGCACGCACCCCCTTGCACAGAAATCTTGGTAAGCGCTAGACGGGCCATTCCCTCGAATAGTCCCGCAGAGAAACTAGTCTCCACTACGCCAAAGCCTTGACTAGCAAGGGATGTGCAGGCGTGTGCCGAGTGGTTCCTTCACTTCCCCCTTCCCAACTACGTTAGTACCCAGGATGCGTTTGTGAACTGTTTCAAAGTATGGTTTGCTAATACGAAGAAAGGAAGAAATACCTTCGTTGTAGCTCCAGGTGGCACTCCAAGCACAGCGTAGTAATCAACAACCGGTTCTGTTGCAAAGTGACGACGGATGGGGCCGGGTGCCCTCGAGACCAAGAGCCTCCGCGACATGCTACGAGTTATATTGTTATAGATCGTAGAGATATGTCCATACAATGCAACCTGAATCAATCTGAAAGCCTGTAAATTAATATGCAAAACATAAGTGTATATAAGCGGTTGATAGGCACACAACGCGCTGTGAACGATCTGCGGCTAAAAATAGCGGTTGACGAAAGAAAACAACTCAGAACTATCAGACTAAAAAGTGACCGTTCACTTGATACTGCGCTAATATGAATTATCAAGCCTTTGGGTCAATTTCATATGGTTCCATTCTCGGCCAACAGCCTACGAACAGAAACTTAGCACAACTGAACATAAAGGAATGATAAGAATGCCCTTACCAGCAAATCTCTTCCCATCCTGATTAAGAACAAGCTTAGAAAAACCTACGAAGAGGGAATCTGATATTATGAAGAAAACTGTTCACATAAATAATAAGCTTCTATTAGCTGAAAACGAAGTGCCTTTACAAAACTAAGCGATAAGGAGAAGCTGAGAAAAGAGTCAAGAGAAAAAAACTTGCTCGTGGTTTATAAAATTGTTGCCGTGACTGCACCGAAATGACGGCGCCTTCTTAAAATTTTTCTTTTATCGAGTTTATTTTTATTCCTGAACATTGTTGAAACGATAATAGGTAGTAAATACAGTGTATGTCACTGTGGACGGTTGGGCGTGTCAGGCGGGATGAGTTTGGCGCGGTGCCAAACCCGTTCTCCACCAGTTGTTAAAGCGAGCAAATGAGACTGTATCATATCGTTCGTATTACTCGTTTTCTACCACTTTTTGTCGCATGCGCGCTTCAACAAGAAGGCAGAGAACGGCTTCGACGGCGTGACACA